TTTTTTTTCTGATGATCTTTCTTTGGAGATGTATCTTCTGTTGCTCTAGCTGTTCCCGGCTGGTATGTCCCACCTCAGAAGGTTCTGGATGGGACTCAGGACTTCACCTAAGGTCCCATACTCTGCAAAGGCTCCGCAAGAGGCCTATTTCACTGGGCAAGTTCTAGAACCCATTTTAGTTATTCCAATCAGTTATAGGCTAAAGATTGGCTTACGAGTTTACGGTAATCATGTTTCCCTACATTTCTTTCTATCCCACTCAAGTATCTATTTTACAATGGTAGGCAAGGGAAACATTCACAAGACAGTCAAGCATCTTAGTATTATTTTTCCTCTTCAAACTATGCCTAGATCTCTGTATCACAGAGTCCTGTTGTTCCAAGGTTGAGCATGCATCATTATTTACCTCTGCCCCACTTAGGCCATGCAAACCTGTCTCAGTATTCCCTTATCTATCTTGTTCTTCTACCTCCTCCTCCTTCTTGTACTGCCTTCCCCAACAACTGAACTTAACCCCCCCCACTCCAACCTCACCATTGTGGTTTCCTTATATTCCATTAACTCTTCTCTCCATTTAAGACAGTCCATTTTCCTGTAATCTACATGAACTTCTCACCACCTGGATCTCTGTTCCTCTGTGTTTACCTTCTTTCACATTATAATTGTTTGGATCATAAACTGACCTCCCAGATCCTCTGTTCTTATAATTTTATTCTGTTCTTGACTCTTCCATATGTTGATTGAGTTCAGGGTGATGCTACCATGTATGTCAGTCTCTGGTTGTTGTCTGTGTTTGTTGGTTCTCAGTCCATAGAACTTTCTTTAGGATGCCTTTCATAACGGGGTTGGCTTTGACAAAATCCCCTAGCTTCTGTTTATCCTGGAATAATATGATTACACCGTTGTATTGATTGACAGCTTTGCTGGGTAGAGGATTCTTGGTCGGCCTTTTGTTTTTTTCCTTTCAGGGGCTCATATATGTCTCCCCATTGTCTTCTTGCCTGCATGGTTTCTGTTGAGGTATCCATATCCGAGCTTAATCTGACTTGCTTGCCTTTGTATGTTACACTTCTCTTTTTCTTAGCTGCTTTCAGGATTCTGTCCTTATCTTTGATTTTGGAAAGCTTGATTATTATGTTTCTTGGTGATTGTCTTTTAGGGTCTATCCTTCCTAGGGTTCTTCAAGCTTCTTGAATGCTTATATTTTTGCTTTTCAGGATGTTAGGAAATTTTTCTTCCAGAAGCTCTTCAACTATCTCCTCTGTGGACTTGTGTGATTGTTCCTGTTCCAGAATGCCAATAATTCTTAACTTATTCCTCTTCATGTTGCCCAACATGAATCTTAGGCCTTCTTCAGAGTTTTTAATCTTTTTTTCTCTTTGCTCTTCTGTCTTAGTAATGTTGAGAGATTTATCTTCTAGCTCACTAGTTTTGTCTTCTATCTCTTCAATTCTACTCCTTTGCACTTTCAATGTATTGTCCATTTCTGACAGTCTATTATTAATCATTTGGATCTCTTTCTGTAGGCTTTTAATTGTTTCCAATGTTGCATCTATCTTATTTGATTGTTCCTGTAGCACTTTCCTGACTTCTTTCTTATTTTTCTCAGCTCCATTATATAGTGTTTTGATACATTTTACAATCATTTTTCTGAATTCCTTCTCAAGCATTTTCAAAGCCTGCTCATTTCTGGTATGGAGTGTAGGTGTACTTCCAGCTCATTTGCCTCAGTCACTTTATCTTGTTTCTGGACATGTGCTGGTATGGTCATCTGTTTCTGTTTTGGGGGCATATTCAGGAGTTAGTGCTGGCCTTAATTCTTAGATGGATGTGTATTTTGGTTTTTTTTATGGTTTCTGATTGCCTTCAAGTAGATGTGATCAGGAGATGGGCTTTCCTTTTCACTCTTCTTCCTTTATCTCTGCAGTTCTGTCAGGTGTCTGTGGCTGCTGTGATCCTTTCCCTGCTTAGACTCACCCAAGATGGGGGTTATGGGAGCAGCTGTGTGTCTTGGATTTGAAAATACTGGATTTCTTGTTTCTGCTACAAATTACCCTGGCTGTAAGCTTTCCAACCATCTAAATATTCCTTTGTATGTGGTTCAGAGTATATAGGGTAATCATCTTATATATTGGGACCATCCCCTGAGCTTGCTTGGTCCACTATTCTGTGTTGTTGCTGACAGAGCTCCTCACTGCACTTCCACCCTATCCACCATCTTATTTGTTCTCCCTAACATGGAATTCTTTTGGGAATTAGAAGAGGGTTCATTAGTAACTATGCCAGGACAACAGGTATAAATCAAGTTTGTGCTAATTGATAAGTGAGAACCAGACTCCTACATAATACCAACCTCAGCAAAAATGTGAATTAGATAAAAGGGAAAAGCAAAACCCAGTTCACAACCTGGCTTCAATGGCTGGATGATCAGAACTTGACTAGAAGAAGAAATAAGAGGAAAAAAAAAAAAAAAAGAGTAACCCGCTACAATTTGATGAACTTTACCTATACTTACGGATTTAGTAGCTCAAAAAAGGGAAGAAATGTTTACAGTGAGGATCACTCCCACCCCTATGGTACACAGGGTTGGCAGGGATGGGCAACTTAGACACTGGTTACCTAAAATGGGTGGTGGGGTTACAAAGGCAAGAAGTGACTGGCTTACAAGCTTTCAAGAGGAAGCCTAATTCCAGAATGGGAAAGGGAAGGTAGAAATCTCCACTGAATGATTTCCAATCTGTTGGAACTGAGCTAATGGAAGGAGATGGGGGATAAGACTCTTGTGGTACAACAGTGAATAATTGTTATCAGGACTGACTGTAAGGGTCAGCAATGTAAAGGTAGATGTTTTGTAACAAAAAGAGGGTTATGATTGATTTTGCAGCCCAAGAGCAGAAAGTGAGAAGAGTGGAGTGTGGGACCCTACCCAGAGAAGCAGTGATGCCAGAAATGGAGGCAAAGACTATGACGTGGAGAGATGGAGCAGCTGTGGACACTAGACTCAGGGAGGGAGAGGGGCTGTGTGCTGATGGCCAGGTGGCAGTTCTGTGGTGTGTACCCTTTGGTTGTTTGATGATGCATGGAGGTGATTGTAATCATTGCAATGAAATGAAATACGATAGGATTAATGTAAAATTGACATTCTCCCATGTAAACCCACATGATTCACTATTAAAAAAAAAAA